GTGCTCTTCCGATCTCCCCAAAACCCCAAAACCCCGCTATCCATCTTATTGTGTGATTGAATATATCTGGTAAATTATCTGACAAAGTTAAAATTATGTCATTTAAAATTAATTAGGCTTTATTATTATTAGAATAATAGATAAATTATTAGACAACAGACAACATGCAGTTACAATAGAAATCAGCTCTAAAATCCATCTCCTTTCTATAAAAATCTCTCAAGACATAGTTCAAGGTAATTAATCCAACAGCTGAAAACCAGCAGAGCAAAGGAGCATCTGCTGTTCCTACAAGAAAGGTTTTCGATTTGAGCAAATAATACTATAATGAATAAGATGAAATTCTTAATGATGACAAACCCAGGAAAGACTACTCCAATTTCATAGTTGAAAATAACTCTTCATCTCACAGCATATTTGGGGATAGTATACTAAAATAATCTTCAGGCATAGCTCCTGCTATTAAAGGTGCTGTTGGACAAAGCAGACCCATTTTAAAGGAAGAAATTAAAACTTACTAAATCATAGTTAGAAACAATAAGTTCATTCCAGATAATTTAAAAATTGAAAAAGGCTCAATAGTCGAATGGAAAATTTAGGAAGATTTGTCTGAGGACTCTGAGCTCTCTCTTTATTCATCCAGCACTCGCTCTCACGTTATTGCCTTTAATGATCTTCCAACAGAGTCTTCTATCCTCAGGCTAAACGATACTTTCAGAGTTAAGTTCCATGAGTGCGGCCATTTTACTTATAAATGCTAAATTTACACAAGAATGAAAGGATCTATTAAGGTTTTTGAATCATACTAAGCACTGACTTAATACGAAAGAGAACTATAAACTTTTTAAAGATATTAAGCTGCAGCTCCTTTCGACATTAGAACACTCAAATAAGAGGAATCTAAAATCAAAATGCAAAAGTCACAAGATGAGCTGAGTCAAAGGCTAATCGAGGTCCTTGAGGAGGAAAATAAAATTGAAACAAAAGAGGAAACTCCTGTTATCAATAAAAAGTTTTTCTAAGAGGTATTTGACAAATACAATCACCATTTACAATGCGAAGCTGAGCTTACATCAGACGATAACTTCTAGCCAAGTGAAGACTAAGAAGATTAAGAAAAAGAGGAAAAAACTTTCCTAGAAGAGTAAAGAAATTCATCAAAGGGATCAAAAGGATCATCTATAAAATAATCAAGCATTCCTAGTCACAAGGAAAGCTCTGAATCAGATCATGCCTAATCTATTGATAATGATGCTAAAAATAGTATATCAAAAGATATCAAGCAGGAATTGATCATTGATTAAGAGTAGGATCAGAAGCTGACTCCATTCTCACTACTTTTCCACTCTCAAAACGGAGATGTACTTGAGTAAGAGTTCCTTCAAAATTAATAAAACCAACCTATAATTGCCCTTCCATCCAATGAAAATATAAAACCATAACTTGAAATTCTAGAAATAAACATCTCTTCAAGCATCCTTTAAGTAGAAGAAATCCCAATAGTAGTTGAATAAGAAATAACATGTGCTCCTAAAAAAGCAATGTTTACTGTCAGAACTCTAGAACCAGACAGGAAGGGAGGTAAATAAATTTCAAAGGAATACCTGATACAATCCAACAATTTAATCTAGGATGACCCTACATTAGCAAAGGCGGCTGATGATTAGCTAAGGGAAATAGAGAAAAAATAAAGATTTAAATTAAAGAGAAAGCAGTATCTATTAAAAAGAAAAGAAAAAGAATCTAATCAAAGGAAGCCAAATGCATTTGACATGAATGCAGCTTAACTTATTAAAGATAAATAATAGAAGGATCTGATAGGCAATAAGGTATTAAAAGAGATTAATTGTGATATGACTAGACTATAAAAGGCAATGGCATTGATCTAACTATAATATGATAAAAGTGTTAAGACAGCTGTGTATCTCTGAATATGACTGTGTCCTAGAAAGTATATTTCATCATTATAGTTAGTTCAAATGTTGATTATCACAAATAAAGAATTTTAAAAGTTTATATATTTAATTTAAGAAATTCCAATCCAAAACTATTAATAACAATGATACTTCTATGATGGGGTTTTGGGGTTTTGGGG